CGTGTGTGGCCCGGCGGCCGCGGGCGGCGGGAGCGCGGAGCGCAGCGGCGGAAGGTGCCGTCGGAGATGGGCGGGCGGGCGAGGAGCGCCCTCGGACAGAAAACATCCATTTCCTTCCTTCCTCTCCTCTATCGATCTCATCTCCACCGCGACGGCGTTTAAACTCTTGMAAGATCCTCTAGCTTAGCACGTTTCGATCACTCTCGCACATCTGATTTCCTTCAGATTCAATCACGGCTGGAAAGGCAGAGCAGACAGACTTTAGACCACGGAACAGTTAATACGTCCCAGATTTAATGTAAAGATAAACTAACTCCACAGCACTGTTCGTCGGTGACAGGCATTAAGTATAGTCTGCTCTCCTATCAATTCGGAGCGGCAGGCACTGCAGGACAATTTTTTTTCGTAGTGACGAATTTTTCTCAGACAAGTTGCCATCACTTCCAATATGGAGAGAGTTAGTGCTCCTACGGCGGTTTCGTTTTTGTTTTGTTTTATTTTTTCTTTAATTAATTATCCTTCTGTCACATACCTAATTTTTCACGTCTGGAAAGCACTTTTACCATTTTAACGCTGATAACCTTATTTGAAGGGATAATTTATCTCTAGGGTATATTTATTAATCAGCTCATTCCTTATAGTCTCTGACGAAACAGCTATTGAAATTAGCGATAAATTTGCATTTTACGGGTAGGTGAAATGGGATAGTGGAAACGGCTACGTCTCCTAAATGGCAGCTATTTCCGTTTTAGATTACGATCAGAATCTCAGCTGTGCCACTCGACGGCCCGAACAGGACCTCCAAGGCTGTGACACAGACTAACCACATCACGAATTTCCTTCTCTCCGTTGCCCAAAACAGCGAAATGAGTTTGAGATCCTAGCTCCCTAAACAGTGAAATTTGCCCCACATATTTTTTTTACAGCTGGAGGGTTTCCATCCTGTTTCTTTCAAGGGAACATGTTACTCCATTTTGTTCTGAAAATAAAAAGAAAAGAAGAAAAAGGAAAAATGTCCCAAGAGAAGGAAAAACAAAATCCAAAACAAAAAGAAAAAAAAAACAAAACAAAAAAAACCCCACAAAACAAAAAAACGAAAACACAACCAAAATCTCACTAGCTTTTTCATTTCCCTGAATATGGAAAGAATATCTGGTTCCAAAACTTTAATAGTTTTATTCACTGGAAAGATACGAAAGGATTTCTTCCGTAACTATTTTATGCACCTGAATATGATTACTATCAAAATTGCTGCGGCTGGATGCATCGATGTTCATACAAGGTTCTATTTAATTCTCGTTTTATTGCAGCCTCAGCGCTAATGGGCTGGGTTTAGAGGAGGTTGTGGATGCTACGCTGGAACCTCTCTGTAGCCAGAGTTTGAATAACAACGCGATGAATCTCCAAGCGCAACAGTAACAGCAATAATTCCTAATCCCTTACAGCAAGACAGGGCACAACGTCATTTTTTAAAGTCCGAATGGTTTTCCCAACCGAAACGCTGCGCTCCAGGAGTGCCCCCCCTTCTCTCTGCGTTTCGGGGGCAGATACGAATGGGGGCGGGGGTGTCCCTTTAGCGTTCATTGCGGGTGCATCTGCCGGGCCGGCGGCGCGGGGCTGTTTCGGCCGGGGCGGAGGGGAGCGC